AAAGGTAAATACAGCCAGATAATAGTTAAAGCAGTGAGGACAGGTTTTATTTGCTGACTGCTGACAGGGAAATAGTGGGCTCCATTCTGACTGTGCAGAGGTGAGTAGGTGTTTTAAAGGAAGAAGGGAATTTGGGGGTGAGGGGTGCATGGCATGAGGCTTCAGCAAGTCAGGGAAGTGGAAAACAATGAAATGTGTGCAGGGCGCTCTGTCCATGTGAGACCCCTCTGTGTTTGCTAGCTGCTGCTTCTCAGGGTAGGCTCCTGACCCCCCCACCCCAGAGTCTGGAAGGCAGGGCCCCTATCTTTTGAGTGTTGGCTGGAACAAATGGTAAAGACTTCTGGCAGCCTTAACTTTGTGAGGCACCTGGAAGGGGTGAAGGCCATCGTGGGAATGCAGTCCTAAGCTGTTGGAAACTATGTTAGTATTTGTTCAAGTCTATAGGTCAAGGTTGAGGCCTAGTTGGAAAGAGAGCTCCAAGAAGCCTGGCTGGAGTTCGGTCAAGGAGGAATCTTTGTTAACTGCTGGAGAACCCAGCCTTTGTAAGCAGCATAGCAAGAACTCTGGAGAGTGTCAGCAGACTTGGGGCTTGAAACTATCTCAAGCAAGTCATTTCCCTTTTTGGAGGCTGTGGGTTCCTTGTCTTTAAAATACAAAACTTAGACCAGGTGGTTTTTGTTGTTGTTGTTATTTGTTTGTTTTAAAGAACTCTTCCTACTTGGATAGCCTAAAGTTATAACTAAAATTCATATCCCATCCTAATAATTTAATATTTTAAGGAAACTTTAACATTCTGTGGTTTTCTCAGAGCTTTCATTAGCCAGATCATATTACCATTATGTTCAGAAATCCCCATGGAAAGGGTTCACTTGCACCACTTGGGAAGCAGGTGTGGTTGCTGGCTAAATCTGGAAAGACCTTGGCATTACCAGGTTCTGGGTTCACCCACTTCTGTGCTCTGCAGATAAATTGATCATCAGATCAGGAGCAAGAATATGTGGGGAATCCCATTAGAGAAGGAATGTGATATGTACCCTCCTGAGAAGGCTGATGGAACGGTCTGGTGAAGCAGATGTGAGCTCAGGTAGGACAGTGCCCACCGGAAAGGCTACAGTTAAAACAACAAGAAGATAGCATTAATATTTTACCTGTTTTGTGGCAAAATAAATCCTAAAACCAGTAAATACTAACACCATCTGAGCAGAACTCTAAGGAAAACTAAACCATCACAAAATTAATTTTGTAATTCTTTGTGGAGTAATTTTTCTTTGAGAGATTTGTGGAAGTTGAGTTCAAATTCATGAATCATTAGGAATGTGTCAACTCAAAAATATATGCTCAATATAGAAGGTTTAACAATGTGAATTTTGTTTATAGATTATTCTGTTGAAATCTGGACATTTTCTTTAAAATTTAATAATTTTCTTCAATAAGAAACTGGATGTAGCTAGTTTGAGCCATTTTTAAAAACTTTGAATGAGTTTAGTGACGGGTATACATTATATATAAAGAATCTGAATGGATATAGTAGGTCTTAATAGATTCAACTAGATCTAATAGATCTAGCCTAGCCCTGATGGCATTTCACAAGAGAACACTTGTATGTCTTCAGCACTCAGATTAAGAGACAGAAAGTTACAGTATAAAGAGGTCTCCCATATCCCTCTCATCACGAGTCCCACATCCAAGCTAACCACTATCCAGATTTCTAATACCATCGTTTAGCTTTGCTCCTTTTGTTTGAATTTTGTATATAAATGTGCTCTTCTGTGCCTGCCCTCCCTCACTCCACATCACTTGTGAAATTCATCTGTGCTGCCATACACAGCAATAGCAAGTCCTCCTAGACACATAGCAGGGGTCAGCAAGGCAGGTGCGGTCAGGGACAAGAGCTAGCCTGTAGCCTTATTTTGGATAGCCCATGGAACTAAGATTTTTTTTTATATAATTTTTAAGGTATTTGTAAAGAAAATAAGCAAAGAAGGAGAGATGACAGAGACTGTACGTGGCCTGCAAAACCTAAAATATTTACTGCTTACCCTTTTGCAGAAAAGGATTGCCAACCCCTGCTCAGTAGTACTCTGTTGTGTAAATATGCCACACTTTATCCCTCTGCGATCGGTAGACATTTCAGTGATTCCTGGTTTGGGCTATTTTGAACACTCTTGTGCAGTATTCAGTCTGCACTCCTGTGATGTGCAGGTCTGGTGCACATCAGTACCAGTTGCTGGAAGGCATCTTAGCCTTGGTAGACACCACCAAACTGGTTGCTGAAGTAGAATTTGTTCCATTCATTCCTTTTCTTTCCAGCATTTCGTATTGTCAGTCTTTTTAATTTTAGCCATTCTCATGGGTTTTGATGATAGCATGTTGTAGTTTTAATTTGCTTAGAGACACCTGAGGTTGAGTATCTGTTTGTAGGCTTGTGAGCCATTTGGTATATTCTCATCTGAAATGTATATTAGAATGTTTTTGACCATTTTTGTATTGTGTTGGTTGCCTTTTTCTTTATTAGTTAAGAGTTCTTTGTATATTCTACATGAGTTCTTTGTGTGTTTATGGATTGCAGTTGTCTTCTCCCATTCTGTGCCTTATCCTTTTGTTCTCTTTCTCTTTTTAAAAAACATTTCTATTTAGTATGAGGGCATAGACAATTAGGTTACATTGTTTGTGTTTGTTAGGTAATGTCCAAGTTATAGTTGCGCCCTCACCCAGGCGGTATGCTATGTACTGTACATTGTGCTGGTTAAGTGCGAGCACACCAATCCCCTCTCTCCTCCCCTCTGCCCGGTCCCGCCTTCCTCCTGCCCCCAACTTCAGTTTAATTGTGTTTTTCTCCTGTGTGGAGTGTATTTGTTTGTCTACTTGCTTCATATTATTATTGTGTACATTGGATTCTTGCTTTTCCATTCTCGTGATACTTCACTAAGTAGAATGTTTGCCAACTCCATCTAGATTAATACAAAAGATATAAAGTCTCCATTCTTTTTTTGGCTAATTAGCATTCCATGTTCTACACATACCACAGTTTATTAACCCATTCCTGAGATGATGGGCACTTGCACTGATTCCACATCTTGGCGATAGGAAATTGAACTACGATAAACATTCTAGTGCATATGTCCTTATGGTAAAATGATTTTTGTTCTTCTGGGTAGATGCCTAATAATGGGATTGCAGGATCAAATGAAGAGTCTGTTTTGAGTTCTCTCAGGGTTCTTCATGCTTCTTTCCAAAGAGGCTGAATTAGTTTGCAGTCCCACCAACAGTGTAAAAGTGTTCCCTTTTCTCTACATCCACGCCAGCATTTGCTGCCTTGGGACTTGGTGATGCGGGCTATTCTCACTGGGGATAGGTGATATCTCAGGGTGGTTTTAATTTGCATTTCTCTGATAATTAGGGACGATGAGTATTTTTTCATGTGTGTGTTGGCCACTTGTATTTCTTCTTCACAGAAGATTCTGTTCATGTCTCTTGCCCACTTATAAATGGGATTATTTGGTCTTTTCTTATTGATTAATTTGAGTTCCCTGTAGATAGATGCTAGTTATCAGCCCTTTATCAGATTCGTAGTGTGCAAGTATCTTCTCCCATTTTGAAGGCCATCTGTATGCTTTAGTTGTCTTACCCTCAGCTGTACAGAAACTTTTTAACTTGATCATACCCCATTTAGTTTTGGTGTTGCTGCAATTGCCAAAGAGGTCTTTTTCATAAAATTTTTTCCCAAGCTGATAACTGTCACAATGAACAGAAGTTTACAATTTTATTTTATTTCAATTTATAAATATTTGTATTGTTCCTGTTTTTTGTGGCCTGAGAAATGTTTGATTCCCCTCAGGTCATGAATGTACTCTCTTTTGTTGTCTCCTTTATTTCTTTGAGATTTAGATCTACATTGCCTGGAGGGGACTTTAGTGTATGGTAGGAGATTGGGATCAAGTTTTATATTTTATTACATAGATACCAGTTGCTCCAACACCATTGATTGAAAGGGGCCATGCTTTTCCCATGCTCTGTTTGTGTCACCTTTGTCACAAACCCAGTGACCATTTATATGTGGGTCTATTTCAGGATTCTCTGTTCTGTTTCACTGGGATAATACCATGCTGTCTCAATAATTGTTGCTTTCTAATTAAAGTCTTGATAATGGGCACTGTAAGTTCCAACTTTGTTTATCTTCAAGAATATCTGGACTTTTCTTGGCTGTTTACATTTCCATAAAGTTTTGAATAAGCTTGTCAATTTTCATTTGAATTATGAATGTATGTAATCTGTAGATTAATTAGGGGGAAATCGAAATCTTTACAACTAAGTTATTCAATCCTCGACCATGGTATAGTTTTCCACTTTCAAAAGCTAATTTAATCCCATTTATATTCTCAGTGTTTCAAAACAATATCACTAATAACTTTCCTCCCCCATGGTATGGTTCTTTCAACTTCAGAAGCAGAGATTGAAATGGATATTTGACTAGCAAGAGCTGTAATGTTGACCAACAAAAAGACTCACAAGCCAGCATTATTGTCCTGTAGAACCTAGTCTTTTAAAAATATGTCCTTTGAGTAGATTCATGATTGTATCTGAATGAAGGATGACCTTCAAGTTCATCTGCTGCAATTAATGTTGTGTCTCTATCCATTTTGCTATGGTAACCAGATTCATTTTACTGTGATTTTTAAGCTTACCATGCAGGTGTCTTTGCTCCATGCATGGGGCATTGGCATGGATAAAAATCCGTAGCATGTATGGTATGTTATAAAAGAGCTAAGAGAGAAACTTTTGAAGGTTAGCACAAAGCAATGGTAAGTGCACAAGGTGATGGATACACAACCCTGATTGGATGATACAACATAAATATGTATTGAAACACCAAATCATACTCCATAAGTATGTACAATTACAATATGTCTATTTAAACATAATTAATTAATTACAAATCCTAGCTATACTTTCCGGGACAGCTTTTGCTTTCCTTCTGAACTTTTGTGTTTTCACTCTAGGATTGTCCTTTCATTGTTTGCATGACCTATGCCTTCCATACACCAGACAAACTCTGCTTCATCCTGGACCTGATGAACGGTGAGCACAACTTGGGAAGTCTGCACACCCTGACAGGCTTTGCCGTGACCTTAAACCTCAGCAAGTCTTAATCCAGGCAGTCTGGCAATTTGAGCCTTTCAGACAATTGGAGTTCCCCGGAAATTTGAGGAAACCTTTTGCCCTTCAATTTTCAGCTCAAATTCATTTTGAAATGTTGACTGCAGTTTCTCTCTGGGCCTCCCAGTCTCTCCCCAGGAAGTTAGATTTTCTAGAAAAGATTCTCATAAAATACTTACAGTGAAACTTGATTTTCTGGAATGCAGCTGGCCTAGATCTTTAATTAGCTTATTTCCTGGCCTTCAACTTTTAGGAATGAAATAACTCATAAGAATATAGGCCAAGGATAGAAATGTATTTAAAAATCGAATTGGAAGGCTTGACTTTGGGCCAAGTACAGATTTTAGCTTGCTCTTCTGTTCCTTCTGAATCTGCAGTACTGTAGACTGATCTTTTAAACTATGAATGATGACCTTGAGAATGCTGAAAAATAGTCAGCTAGAAAAGTAGCTTTGTAATACTAGAAAGTGATATGGTATATATCTAAAGTATTTTTAGTCACAAGAGCTGAAATAAAAAGGCATACAATTCAACAATTCAAATACCTAGTTTGTTTCAAGTTCACTTGAAGTTTTATTATGTTTTGAGTGTTTGATTTAAAACCACATCTACCCCAAAATGTGAAAGAATTTCACAGACATGATCACAAGCAAAAGAAGCTACACACAGCAGGATGTGTCCTATTGATGTGACTTACGGGAAAGACAGAACAATGTGGAAGGAGGGCAAAAGAGTCCCCGTTGCCTGGCTAGGATTGGGGACTGAGGTCCTCGCGGAAAGGCTGGGGAGCCTTTTGCGATGCTGGAAATCCTCTGTACCTTTCTCTGATGGGAGTCATAGAGGAGTCTGTGTGGGTAGAGAGGCAGCATTTACTAAAAACATGGCAGTAAAGGTGGACATAGATTAATTTTGTAAACCTATAGAGACTTTTTACTTTTTGTTTATAAAAACATTTCCCTGTTGGTAGCATTCTCTGTCTCTATAACTTGGGGCCATGTGATTGTTTCTTTTTTCCCAACATTTTATTTTGAAAAATTTCAAACATATAGCAATGCTGAAAGAATTTTACTGAGGTCACCCAAATACCCATCACCTGGATTTTATCAGTTAAAATTTTACAGAATTTGCTTTATCAAATACGAGTTTACATCAGCAGTTTTGGTTTTTTGGTTTGTCCTCAGAGCCAGGTGCTGAACTATCGGGTCATGACATAGGTTGATCCAGTTACTAGATGAGATTTAGGTCATCAGGGGAGGTTAGCCAGTCCCACTGTGTGATGGCGAGACCAGGAGCTGGGCTGCCAGCCTGAGCACGGTGGCTTGGCTTTGCTGTGCTCTCTCTCATTGTTAAGGGTAAGTCTTATCCATGACTATATTCTCTCTGTACCATTTAAAGTGTTTTGCCAAACTGCAAGAATCAAAGATAGGTATTTAGACAAAGCAAAAGCAGAGTTTATTATTTTTTTACTGTGTCCTATTTAGGAGGACAACAATTTTTATTTCCTTTCAATGAACGTGCTTTGAATTAATTACAAATCTCTCCTGCCAGGAGGGGACTTGCACTATCACCTTTCCCAGCACGGGGTGTTCACTGAGAAGGAGATGCGGTTCTATGCCACGGAGATCATTCTGGGGCTAGAGCACATGCACAGTCGGTTCGTGGTTTACAGGGACTTGAAGGTGAGGACAGTCCACACTCGCTCTGTGTGGTAGGTGTTGTGTGAGCAGCCGTCTAGGAGTGCCGTCCTGTGTTACAGACTCCCATCATCATCCCCATTGCCCTCAGGTCAGCCCCAGTGAAGCCATCATGTGTGTCTGTGTGTGTGGGGGGGTTGGTCTCCTCTAAACCACACTCTGCAGGGAGGGGTACAGGCCCATCCTCATTCTTCTCAAACCCTCGGTACCCGCTGCGGTGCCCAGTACAGCACATTCACTCAGTCATCTATGTTAGTGGATTGAATAATGACTAACCTCGTCCGTCGTGTCTCCACATACAGAGATAAACACATAAAGAGCATATGTTGTATAGTGCTTCTATGCAGGTGAGCCAAGGCATAGAATGGTTGCATGCAAAGCAAATTGGTGAGGAGTGCATTGCTTGCGGGTCAACCAGCAGGCTTAGAGGTTTATGTTGTTTTGAGATTGCCTTAAAAATAATTAATGAATTTATAGATTTCTGAGCTCTATAACTTCTGCCTGCTATATTTGGGTTGTTCTTCTTGTCCTCTGTAAAAGCTCATTGTCTGCAAAAGTAATGAAATAATAGTATTCTGAGTTTTTCTATTCCATACCTTGGTGCTGAATCCTACATGAGGAGAGAGTTGGGACTTGCTTAGTACATCCCTGGTGTCACTCACCTGGCTGTGATGGCCTATAGCCTGAGACAGGGATGGAGATAAAAAGGACCTTGACAAATTCCTTGACAAATTATAGAAATGGTTATAGAAACGACTGTATAAATGTACAAATGATAATGCGAAGAAAATGGTAAAAGTGAGAATTTCCCCAAAGGATGAGAGGACTCCCAGAGAATGTGTTTTCAAACTTTTATTTCAAATTGGGATCCACAGTGGCCAACTGAAATATGCAGATTATGTTCATTTCTTTAAGGAGCTAACATGTCATGATTGCCTTTTTAAGGTTACCTTCAAAATGTTATAAAAATTACATTGTATTTTTGATTATATTATTTTGTCACAAAATACTTCATAAATTTTAAAGTTTTCTGCAAGATTAAAGAATTAGTCCCTTAGTTTTTCTATGAGCACTTTTTATGCTCATGAGAAAATGTATATGTTTATTGGATTAGAAATTAGACATTGGTTGGCATATGACATTTTATTTCTTCATGGGATTATTGCAGAAGAATAAAATACTTGCTGAAAGCCTGCAAAGTGCTATTATCATACATTCTAATTTAAATCTATAACCGGTTTCTAATCATCTTTATGCTTTATTTTTATTTTCTAAGCTATTTAGTAGGCAGTGGTATTATTTAATTTCTATTCAAACTTAATTCTAGTCACTCATGATTATTCATGCTTCAATTTTATATAGCTTGCCATTATCTTTATTTCAAGCAAAACAATAGTTGATCTCCAGCAGAAAAATATTATTGACTATAATTCAATGTATATTAGAGAGAGGAGCTTTGTTTTCCATGATTATGATGACTAAATCTAATCTTAATGGATACATTTCATCAGAGTTGTGGTCAAAATCATATTTGGTCATTGGGTAGGGCTCTACCCTGATGATGCACTAATAAACAGAAAATGACATTTATTGGGATTAGTGTGGCCTTGTGGAATATTTTGATTTATTAGGTCAGTATTTATACATTCTTGAAAGATTCCTTTCTGTTCTGTGCTTCACAGCTTCATTCTCAGAAGTCCATGCGGTTCACATAAGCCAAACTGGGTAGACCCTTCCCGGGGCAAGAGGCACACTCGCTGGCTGTGCTGCGGGTCTTGGTACAGGGAAAGGAAATGCTCTTCACTCTGGTGAACTGTGCTCTTGCCCCTCCCACGTTCCCGCCTGGGTTTCATTTCTAATGAGCAGAGTCCCTCACCTTTGTCATTGCCACTTTTCCTGTTGAAGTTCGCATGAAAATTATTATTCTCAGTGTCATGAGAATGATGGCACCCTACTGCGGTGCGATTGTCTAAATCTATAATTCATGTTTAGGAACAAAGCTATGATAAACCATTACTGTTTTAAGTATCTGTACTTTTAGTTCTCAGAGTCCCTGTGGCATTTGGGGAGTTTTCAAAGACCATATATTCTTTTCTGTTTAGCCAGCAAATATCCTCCTGGATGAACACGGACATGTGAGAATATCAGATCTTGGTCTGGCATGCGATTTTTCCAAAAAGAAGCCCCATGCGAGCGTGTAAGTAGTGCATTGGTTCTGTCACTGTTGTTTCTCTAATGCCGCTCATTTATGCAGACAGATGCTGGTTGGCCATTTGTTCCCTCTTTTTTCTCACGCTCGCAGTGACTTTCCATATAATACCAGGTCAGGGGAAGACCCAGTATTGCAGGTTGTGCAGGAGGGGATACGAGTTGGTGTCTGCAGGGAGCACAAGTTGACCCACAGGGGCCAGGGTTGTCTGTTGAAAAGTCAGGCCTCAGCCAGAAACCCAAATTCATGCTGCCAGTGTGACCCTAAATCAGTCAGTTAATCTGTTTGAACTTCAGTCTTTTCATCTATAAATAACAGTAGTAATAAATTAGCCTGCAAGTTGTCATAGGATAACTGGAAGACCCTGTGGCTAGGAAGGTGCAGAGGCAGCTGCATAGATCTCTCCAAGGACCGTCCTCGGGGCCAAGTGTTTCTCTCCCCATCTACTTTCCCTTCTTTTTCAAAAAGCCTTTTCTTTTTTCCTTCTTTCCTTCATTCCCTTCCTTCCTTCCCTGTCCTCTCTTCTTTTCCTCCCTTCCCTTCTGGTCTCTTCCTCCCCTCCCTTCCTTCCCTTTCTCTCTCTCCTTCTCCCTCTCTCTCTCTCTTTTCCTTTCCTTTCCCTTCCCTTTTCCCTTTCCCTTTCAAATCTGGACTCTTTCCACCTATACTCCTGGCCCCTCACTGTTTTGTTTTATTTTTAATTAAGCCAATCATCTATTTGCAGTTCAGGCTTTTAGCCTAGGTCATGTTGTTAGCTGTGGGTGTTACACCAGTCCTCTGAGTTACCACCAGACATCACTCCTGAGGTCACAGTCCTCAGCCAGCACTTGACAGTTTGGTGAACCCTGAACTAATTCTAGGGTGTCCATACCTTATCAGTGCATGGGGATCCTGGCCCAAAGACTTCTCTTGAACCTGGGATTGTTAAAAAGACAAAGAACTGTAAGCTCTCCCAGTAGTACCCTGCAGGAGCAGAACGGAATACACACAGGTTTTCATTTCTGTCTCTTTGGTATCAGATGATCTGGATGGAAAATGTGAATATACATGCAGATTGTGGAAATGCAGGCAACTTTTGCTTTATTTTGTTTTTTTAAATGTCTCCTTCTTAGCACTGAGTCTTTTAAAATTACATTTTATTGTACGTCTTGAGTTAACATTCATCTCTGTGTTGAATGGTCTTGAAGAAATTCCTAGGAGTCTCATTTCATGCAGCCATGCAGAAAATAAACTACAGATCCTTCTCTTTGTGTAACTAGAAGTAAAGTGGTTCTGAATTACGATACTTTACGAGGGACTGCATTAAATCAAAATTGCCTTTTAAAGCTCTGACCAAATGTTAATAAAGAATAGCACCATTTCTGTAAACATATTTCTCTTTTTCTGCAGGATCTGGGCTACTGTGATAAAAGCATTAGCATTTTGCTAGCACTTTACAATTATTAGGCCAGAACCTGTGGTTGTATAAGCTTCTCTCAGGGAGTTCTTCAGACATTTTTAAGAGAGTCATTTGAATTTCTAATGCCCCAGCTATTTCATATGCTAATTTCTTCAATTTAGTATAGTCATAACTAAGGATGAATCCAAGAGTGCATAAGAGTTAATCTTCCAAAGGAATTAACTTCCAGATATGGACTTATATGTTTCCTAATAGGGCCTAGCTCACTTTTTACTGTAATTCACATGTCAGCTTTGAATGGTGGGCTCTTCCTTTGCCTACCCCTGAAAGTGTTTGAATACCATCTATAAGAGGGTAGAAATTATAAGGTTGGTTTCTGTGTTCAAGTGATGTCAAGGAGGCCACTACCTAAAAAAGATAAATGCACAGTGAAATACAGTAGAACATCTGTATGCTGACCACCCAAGGGACTGTAACAAACTGGTCAACAGACAGAAGTGGTCAACAGAAGGAACTGGGCCTACTGTACTGATGCATACATGTGGTGTATGTCCAGTCTATGAAATTTAGGTCAACATAAGGAGATAGCCAGTGCAGGGAGACAAGACAACTATGGAGGTTCTAATGTGCTATAGTTTTAAAGGAAGGAGGCATTTTGTGGTTAAGAACAAGAACTTTGGAGTCCTAGACCTGGATTTGAATTTCTCTTCCAAGTTTCATGAGCCTCTTTTGTTCTCTTCTACGAAAAGAAGATGACAATGCTGTTTACCTTGTATGATAGCCATGAAGGTTAAGCCAGCTAATTAACTCAGCAAGACAATGTCACATTTGCTGAGTGCCTGGTGCTGCTAATGCCACAGTAAGAACTGACCTCCTGGAACTAGAAGCCCTGAGAACTGTGTCCATTAAATGACCAGTGTCTGGGTGGTGGCAGTGCTGATAGCATCCACAGTGTCATTGGCTGAATGTCAGCTGTCCCAGGGATGCATAGCTAACTGCTTTGAATATGTTCCCTTCACAGAAATCCCATACATTAACAGGTATTGTTATTTACTTTTTATGGCATGGAAATCAAGGTTCAGAGAAATTAAATAACTTGAACCACGTCACCTAGCTGGTGCACTGTGGGGCTAGAATTATAATCCAGGTCTGTCTGATTCCAAAGCCTGTGCTCTTTATGTCTTACAGATGAACTCCCTGAGGCTTTGAAATGATCTGCTTAGTATTAGATTAGAGACTTTTGGAAAGAACTTCACCCTGAACATGGTTTCTCAGTTCTTTGCAAAGCTACGGATGTGATTCTTGGACTTTCTCTAGAAAGTAGACTATAACAAAGTACTGTTAGAGTTGAGGCTTCTGATTTGGATTATCCTTAATCCATTTAATGTTAGAACCACAAATTATTGTAAACTAGAACTGAACTGTAGAGTAGCCATGACATATCAAAGGAAAACTTCTTGAAGAGTTGAGCAGATTGTCATAATTTGAGTTACTACAAAGCTGTGTCTTGTGTCAGTGTTGTAAAACGTTAAAGTGTTCATTCAGTATTAATAGTAGTATAATAGCAGAATGTCTGAGGAAGCATTGGTAACTGTTGTGCAGGCAGAATCAGAAAACCGCAGCAGCCTGAGGCCCAGTAGTTGCATCCGGTATTAAGCATGGACACTGATTAGTGTTCACTTACTTTATCTGTCCCTGTACACGTGAATATCTTTCCATTCCAGAATTGGGATTTGATCCTAAAAATTACAGGTTAAAAGGTGACCACAAAGGGCCTTAGTAAGCAATGCTGAACTTAAACCTTCCTGGAAAATGGTCTGATGCCCCTCATAGGAATCCTCATGCTCGCGCTGCCTGGCTTAATGCCCTTGCACCATCAGATTTTAAATTCCGGGTGACAGAGTGCTAGACCTGCCTCTATGGACCAGCTCCCCTTTTCACTGTTTGATAAAACTCTCAAAATACACCTTTTAGAGTGAGACAGAGTACTGATCCTGCTGGTGATCCAGGATCGTTTATTCTGAGTAGATGTATGCTGTTTCTGAGCATAAGTAAATTAAAAATGATTACAGATTAAGAATAGAGATTAAAATCCCTAGTGTGAAGTTCTTCTTTTGCGCTAGCCCGTGACATATGTGCAGTCCTCGTGGCAGCCCCAAGAAGTAGAGGTATTACCTTATTATCCATTTTATTGATGAAGGAAGTTGATGAAGGATGAAGAGCTGTGGGGCACTCAGAAAATGGTGTTTGCAGGGCCCGTGGGGGAGCCATGCGCTGCTTCTGACTCCTCACACTGGGACAGGCCTGCTCAGCTCTCCAAGGAGGGCTGGAGAGCAGCAGACAGTGAGGATTGTACATAAAATGCCTCTCTACTCACTTCATTGTCTCAGCTTCCTGAAAATCATCTTGACATAAGCTTAGTGCTGAGTCCTTTGAATTTTAGCAGCTTTTAAGACCTGACATATGATGGCTCCATTTCATGCACTGTGGGCTTGCACACCACTGCTTCTCCACTCCAGGGCCTGTCACCGACTCTGAGCTCAGGCCTTCGGGGATAGTCTGTGCTGGTGTGGGTGTCCCCAGGCATTGAGGGCCCAGGGCAGTGCAGTGCAGTCTCCTGCCATTGTCCTTACCCCCTCCACGCGGAACCCTTTAAGGGGCAGGTGAACTTTCTCTTTACAGCTGAAGTAGAGAAGTAGAGATTCAGATGTTGTCTCCTAGACCCTGAAACTTGCATTTTTCATATTTATTTCCTATGGTAATTTACTTACTTATGTCCATTCACATACTAATGAAGGCAGAAAAGAATTTTTTTTTTTTTTTGCCTCTGGATGTTCATGTCTGCATGGCAGCAAAACTGTCCCCTATGGATGACACACTGTGTTGTGTGAGGCCAGCCTGCTCCGATAACTGTGTGTATGCTCTCTTTTCCCCAGTGGCACCCACGGGTACATGGCTCCTGAGGTGCTGCAGAAGGGGACAGCCTACGACAGCAGTGCCGACTGGTTCTCCCTGGGCTGCATGCTTTTCAAACTTCTGCGGGGGTGAGTGAACTGCCTCCTTTAGTGCTGTCATCATGGCATGGACTGGGATTAAAATTGAGACTATTTAGAAATGACCAGACCCTGTTATTTTAAATCATGCAATGATCTTTATGCCACATGCTAATCTGGAAGATTATTTCTGCTTCGTACGGGAGAAAGTTACTTTCCTAAAAGCTGCCAGATAAATGCTTATGGCTTAATGCTGTTATTCCATATCAGGTAGGAATCAGAATACTTTTAAATCTAAAATAAGACTGCTTTAAAATACTTTCATTGCTAAGCCATATTCTGGGAATAAGTATTATTTTCAAATGTGGATTAACTGAAGAAGATAGATTAGTTTTTTTCTACCCTAGAAATTACTCATGATTCTCTTGTGAGCTTAAAGCATTTTGAATGTTACAAAAAAAAAAAAAAGAAAGATAAAGACCCCAAGCAAACCCCTTTTAAAAGTTTTCATTTATTGATAAGCATGCTAAAATTAATTTTTTTAAAGCAAATATTATGCTAGACCTTGTTCTAAACTACCGAAGGTGATGAAATAGAGTGGAAGAGAGTCTGAGAAGAGAGCCCTCTCTGAACATGGCCTGCTGTTGAGCACTTGACAGTTACGTTAATGTTTCCATTAATTTTAAGACTTTTAGCTAATTTTAATAGAGGGTTTAATTTTTTATGTTTTAATTAATATTTAATTTATATTTTTTAATGTTTTAATTAATATGAGGGCACCATATTTAGGTTACATTGTTCTCACTTCCAGGGTAAAGTTCCATTTGTTGAAGAGCTCCCTCATGAACATTTCATGTTTTAAAACTTTGTTTTAATTCTTTACTCAGAAAGATACAGAAAGCACTTTACATTAAGATTTCCTAGCCAAGAGTCGGTGCCTGTGGCTCAAGTGGCTAAGGCGCCAGCCACATAAACCTAAGGTGGCGGGTTCAAATCCAGCCTGGGCCAGCCAAACAACAACAATGGCTGCAACCAAAAATTAGCTGGGTGTTGTGGCGAGCACCTGTGGTCCCAGCTACTTGGGAGGCTGAGGCAGGAGACTCGCTTGAGCCCAGGAGTTGGAGGTTGCTGTGAGCTGTGATGCCATGGCACTCTACCCAGGGCTTGAGGCTCTGTCTCAAAAAAAAAAAAAAAAAAAAGATTTCCTAGCCAAGATTTTCCTTTTAATATTTTCTTACAAACACAGGCCCAACCGTTTGCTACCTTTTCAGCTTCCATCCAAAAGTCTAATTGAGCATCCTGCACCCTCATCTTATATCTCGCACATCCTGAAGAGAGGCTAGGTTCCTCACCCCCCAAACTAGAGTCTAAGTACCCGCTCTGTTTCCTCGGGGCTCTGATAATCTAGTTGTTCCCTGCTCACCATATGCACTTGGGATCTAAAATTGTATTATTGCTTAGAAAGTCAGGTTCTGCTATTTCTTAATTGAATTATTGTATTTGTGGAGCCTGGATGGCCTTAATTCATGTCGTCAGTCAGACTAGCTGACCTAATTAGAGAGTTTATGGCAGACAAACCAGAGAAAGTCATTTCCCCTGTGAGATACTGTTCTCTCCCGTGGAGTCACTTATAGGCAGTTCATGAAGATACCCCAGAGTCTTTGTTTCAGATCTCTGCAGGACATGTGGTTGGAGATGCAGAATCCACTCACAGAATTTGGAGATGATTAAAGGAAACTATGCAGCAGCTAGCCTTTCAGTGTAACACTCCCCAGTAGAGTTTAGCAGGGGACTCTGCAGGGCTTTGCACTCAGGGCTCGGCTTACTTCTTTGTTACTCTAATTGTTAGGAAGTCCTTGCATAAAGGCTGGGGAGGTTTTGGTATAACACTTTTATTTTTAAAAAAGATTTTGAGGATTTTGTTGAATTATTAACTTTGTGTGATCCAACGGTGTGGTTTGTGGATAATAAAAAAATTCAGTTGGCCATAATTCACAGTTAGAGAATTGAATTGGAAGATACTCATTCCCTTGTGAGGCCTTGGTTGGAGATTCTGTTCCGTGTAACTTGATAAGAGCCTTGGAGGACAGAAGGACAGGCAGGGGATTGTCATGAGGATGAGACAGGATTGGGGGGGGTGGGTTAGAAGAGAATGGTGGATGAACTACAAAGTATGCCTTACGTGGAAAGCTGAGCACAGAACTTACGGGAGCCAGAGTGGTTGGCTTCAGCACCTTGCTAAGGGGGTCGTATTCATGCTGTATGGCACCAGGAGGCAGGCATTTAAAGGAGACAAGCAGTTGCAGTCTGACACAAGAATGTCCGTTCAGACATTTGGGCTACCAGTAAAGGAGAGCCCTGCCTCCCAAATAGCAAGCTCCTCGTCATTATCTGGTAGCCAGATAGTTACTGAGCCTAAAATAGAAGGACTTCTAGTGCATGACTGATGGGCTTGGATGTATCTTCCCCACTAAGATTTATGATCTTATGCCATTCTTTTGATTACTTGTTCAACAGTCATTCACAGACAGGACATAGCACTAAAAGAGCAAGAAATATTTTTTGACCTAAGTGATAAGCATTTATTGAATACTTGTAATATACAAGCAATGGTGCTCGATGCTGTGAGGGAGGGAAGGAAAAAAGGAGAGAGGGAAGGATGGATGGAAGGAGGGAGGGACAGAGGAAGGGAGGCAGGGAGAAGCTACATTTAGTCTTTAAGGAAGGGGCAGTCCAGGAGAGTAGACGGATACACACAGAGACCGTGAGCTGTGCAGCAACGCTCTGGGGAAGCACACGTGGGAGAATCTGGGAGCAGGGCTGATGGAGGTGGTATGCTATTTGGGAATAGACTCTGAAAGATAGATGGGATAACAGAGCAAAGACTAGGGCAGGGAGTAAACATCTTCTCTGTTTCTTAAGAGGGGCATGGTGCTGACAGAGAAGGCTGAGAAGACTGTCTTGGGACTGGGTGGACCCTGGATGCCATACTCTGGGGGTGGGCTTTTATCCTCAAGGCCCCAAGGACCAGACACCATTAAGCAGAGCAGCAGTGTGGTTGGGTGCTTGCTCAGTAAGATGGCTCTGGTGGCAGCATGGAGCACTGGAGGGATGACGGCAGCAGGGAGGCCTGAGAGCCTGGGCAGAGGCAGGGACCAGGATGGACGGCAGCAAGTGACATAACAGTGCTGTTGAATTTGAGGCCATCTGTTCCAAGGGTTTTGTGGGGTGGCTGGTTTTGGAGATTTGTTATCGTTAGTTCCTGGTTTTTTATAGGTCCTTGGATGTGGAAGGATAGGAGTTAAAGATGGTACCATTTCAGATTCAAGACAATTCAAAATATTTTGTAGTATCATCACCAAAGTCAATAATTGTGAAATTTCAGTGGTTTTGATTAAACCTATGTTTATGGAAGGCTCTTGAGAAGCAAAGCCCTGTGATGGGGTCAGCAGGGGATGGGATTGCCCATAGGAGGCTTCACTCCCTCAGCTGCATGAAGGGAATAGGACCTGATCTGCTTCCTTGCAGAGCTGTGTGTGGGAAAAGCTCAATGATGACGTCTCTCAGCATCCTGTGTAGAAGGCTCTGGCTCTGGCACAAGGGGCATAAGAAACTGACACGGATGGGGCAGAGGTTGAGTGGGCAGTGGCTGGGTGGAGCCTCCAGGTGCAGGCTCGGGGAGCAGCCTGTCCCCTCTGCATCCTGGTGCTCTTCTGGGGTGCCTGTCCTTAACCCAGTGGGCACTGGGAGCTGCTTGGAGATAATCTTGGTCATCATAGCTTGGGGAGGGGCTGCTACTGGCATTTAGTAAGAAGAGATCAAGGATGGTGCCCAATGTCTTGCAGTGCACAGGGCAGCCCCCTGGTGTTCTGATAAAGAATTACCCAGCCCGGGCGGCACCTGTGGCTCAGAGGAGTAGGGCCCTATATGCCGGAGGTGGCGGGTTCAAACCCAGCTCCGGCCAAAAAAAAAAGAATTACCCAGCCCAAAATACCAAGAGTGCAGAGGAGTTTGAGGAGCACCGCTGTACAGCCAGTCCCCCACCTCCCACAGTGGAGTAGTGAGGTGGAGCTAGTGGTCACCCGTGGTCTTTTTCTGTGATTTAATAAGTTAATACTCCTTGCACTGACCGTTGTGTCCCACTGCTCTGCCTAAGCACTTTTCTGCACCCCTCATTTTGTTTTGACACTCCAGAACAGTGTTTTTCAGTCTCTCTTTTTTTTTAATCTCATGGGTCACTTGAACCTATAGTTAAATTTCCATGGCACACTTAAATTTTGTTGATTAAAAAAGTTAAAAAAAAGAATATACTTACTTTGCTTTGAAATTCTTTTCAAAATAATTAATCTTTAAAAATTTTCGCGGCCATGGCACGCCATTTGAAAATCACTGCCCTAGAAGAGCACCACAAGGCACTCATCTGGACGGGAGAAAGTAGTCAAGCTTGAGAAGGTGTTTGCTTTTCAAGATTCAGTCACCGTATTTTGGGTGCTGGTTGCTACTCCATTTCAGGTGACCTTGAGCATCTGTGTATGAAGATACGTCCATGTTGCACATCTGTGAAGTTGCCGTCATGGACCTTCAGCCTACATTTAATATATTGGTTAAGGAAAAGAATTGATGTGACCACAGCTTTAATCTCGAGCTAGTCACCATTCAGTGTCCATCTATGGAGGGTCAATCCTAGGGAGAGAGCCTGGGTGGTAGCCTGGGAAGAGCGAGTGCGGCCTGAGGTTATTAAGTGTGTTCTATGTGGGGAAAAAGGAAAGTTTATAAATATTTTGGCAGCTGTTGGCTTAGGTTCAAAACACGTATTTGATATAACACACAATCATTTTGGTATTCTAAAATTAAATTTGATGGGAGAGTTTTTAATCTCTTATAATTAGAGATGTATTGTCTTGTTACCATCATTGTTTCCCTCTGACCAGGGTACACTGACGTGGGCTGGGTCTACATGCCCCCCATCATCGTTTCCCTGTGACTGGGGTACACTGACGTGGGCTGGGT